TCAAAGGTATCATGATGAGAATCATTTTAATGCTCTAGACACAAACTCAAGTTACTCTGAATATGTGTGTTTTGGTGGCTCTGGGAGAACTAGCAGCTGATATAAACACCACTTGGGAGCTTGTACAAACAGTGCCTTGCTTTGCTGAATTCCTTAATGCACCTAAATTCACACTCAATTCATTAGCATTTATATATAGTATTGTTACTTTTAAGAATTTAAGAGAAACAAAGATGTTTAAGGGTGTTGTGGTGACATAGTGGATCAAATATTGGGCTGCTAACTGAAAGTTCAGAGGTTTGAATCCACCAGTCACTCCAAAGATGAGTGAAGAGGCAATCTGTGTCCATGAAGACTGAGAGCATTGGAGACCTTCAGGGGCAGTTGTGCTCCATCCTTTGAGGTCAACCAAGAGTCAGTATGAACTCAACTGCAAATGTGTAATGTTTCAGTTAATATGTTCCCGGAATTCCCCACTCAGATTCTTTGCCATCAATTTAATTCCAACTTATATAGAGACCCTACAGAACAGATTAGAACTGCTCTATAGAAATTCCAAGGCTGTGATCTATATGAAAAGGAGCTCGGGTGGCCCAGTGGTAAGAAGCTGTGGTGCAATCCCAAAGACACGTAGTTGGAATCCACCAGCTGCTTCACAGGAGAAAGATGAGCAATCTCATCCTGCTCCATTTACTGCCTCTGAAAACCTGCTGGAAGGTCAGCTGTGAGTCAGTTCTGACTTGAGGGCACTCCACAACAACAATCTTTATGAAAGCAAACTACACATCTATCTTCCATAGAGCTGCTGCTGGGTTCAATCTGCTGACTTTTCCATTAGTAGCTGACTGTTTTACCACTGTACCAGAAGAGATCTTTAATTCTATATCCTTAATAACTTTTTTACTCTACTGATAACAATTTAGTAAATAATTATAAACAGCTGAGGAAATTTCACTCTAGAATCAGCACTAGAGGGGAAAAATAATCAGACTCAAGATGTAATCTAGTTTATTCATTAGAAGTAAACTCTCAATAGAATCCATGCCTTAGACAGCCATATTTTATAGTTTTTAAGACATTCTGGTAGCATATGGCGTAACTTGTTGGAAAACCAATCAAAACATCAGTGGTTCAGATCCATCAGCTACTGATAAGGATATACAGTGTATTTCCATAAAGATTTATATCATTAAAAACCTCTGGGGTGTCACTTTAAGTTCAATTCTTTACTCAACAGCAATGGGTCTGAGGTTTTGGTTCTTTTTACAGTTTGGACATAAACTGCTCAATTTCTATAGGGAATTCTTTCTGAGGGTAGAAAGGAGGGAGACGTTTTCAAGGATTATTTAAAATTAAAATAGTTTCATTCAAAGAAACTATTGTTTATAATAATGGTGGACACATAACATTAGGCATTTGTAAAAAATACACAGATATATATCCTACACAAAGAGTAATTACATTAGTAAATTATGGACTTTAGTTAATAATAATAATGAATTAATATGGGTTCTGCCATTGAAATTAACGCATCATGTGAATGTAAAATTTTATAATAGGTGATACTATGCGTAGGTAGAAGTATTTGGAAATCCTTGTACATTTTGCATACTTTTTTCTGTAAATTTAATATGTCTCAAAAATTAGTGCATTTAAAAAGAAATTTTTATTTACTGTAAAAGCATGGCTAGTTTACCACTGAACAAAGTAAACCTAAAGTGTAGAGGAATTTGTTTGCTTTTCAGGTCCCCCCCACCTCTTCATTGCCTATTGCCTTTATGCCATCTTGCCTAAATTCTCCATAGGAGGTCTAGAAGTACTAAAAAGGAAGGTGTCAAGAGACTTCACAGAAAAGTAGGGTAATACTCTTGCTGGAATAAAAAAATACCCTTGTGTGTGGGTCCTCTATCATTTTTACATGTAACATGATTTTTCAATCATTGCTTTATGAGCCTGAATCTCTTGTTTATTCAGTGGATTAAAGTCAGATTCTAATAGAACAGATGAAAGTTGCAAATCCCAACCCTGGTAGAAACTAGAAAACAGATTTCGAAGTACAAAACTTGTATACTTTAAACTCTATCAGATTCTTTAAAAAGTAGGTGACCTACATCTCTGAGCAACACACCAAAGAGTGGATGAAATGGTAAACCATCCCTTCTTCCTAGAAAAACAACTCCCAGCAAAACATTCTCACTTCCTCATCTTCTGACACATTACAGAGCACTGTAATCTGGCATTCTGGTTTCCATTCCCTTAATGCATCTGAAAGAGTTCCTACCAAGTTGCCAATGACCATTGCCTGGTTCTGAGTTCATCTTTCTCAACATTACACTACGTTCCACATTAGTAACCCCTCCTAACTAAAACACATTCCCACTGCCATTCTTTTCCTTGGTACTTATCACCCCTCCTCAGGCAGTTTGGCTACTTTATCTTGGTCCTCTCATAGATTTAAAAAAAAAATAGTCTTTTATTATATTTAAAAGGAACATTTACACAGCAAATTAGAGTCCCTTCAACAATTCTACTACACAACTTATTAAATGATGTTGATGATATCTTTTTCACATATTAATGATTCTCTTTCATTTTTTTCTGCTTATACCATTTCCAGAACTCTAGTTTCTTTGACCCCTTACCTTCTTATCTTTACTTTAAGGTATACTTTACTATTTGGTCATATGGATGATTTTTCAAAAGTGCTCATAATCGTGGATGACTGTCTTTATTTATGAGCCAAGCTGTTACTTACGTAAGAGATGACCTGTAAAAATTGACAGATGCAGGGGTGGTATTGTTGTTGTCACAGCACTTCTTTCCTCCAGGAGTTTCTTATCCCCATTACGCTGACACACAAGACAATAGTTGGTAACAAGAGTGTCAGCATGTTCTTCCTGAGCAAAACTTTCTGGTAGCCCTTCTTTGCTAATAGGATGAATTCTAAACATGGCATGGGTTGTTGTTGTTCTGTGCTGGCAAGTTGGAACTTCCCCAGAACTGACCCTCCAGAGGGTTTTCAGAGGCAGTAAATCATACAGGAGGAGATTGTCAATCTTCATCCCACAAAATAGTTGCTAGATTTGAACCATATGACTCTGGGTTGGCAACCCAATTCCTTACTCACTGGGTCATCAGAGTTCTTTTATGGCATGAGTTATTGTGTGCCGTTGAGTTGGAATGGACCCATAGCTGACCTTACAGTGGGTTTTCAGAGGCTGTTAATCATACAGGAAGAGATCGCCCATCCTTCTCCTGCAGAGTAGCTGGTGGATTTGAACCACATGCCTTTGGGATTGCATCACAGCTTCTTAACACTTTTAGTAAAGGCTAAATATTTGCTTTTCTGGGAAGACTTCCTACATGTTCTCCCTCATGGCAGCCTATCACAAGGCATATTTCTCCATTCTTCCACTGGGGTCCCTGTGTCTATTTGTTGGGGCTTCAACTGTAAACAGCCATTGGGTTATAACTGTTCTTAGACATTAGATGAACTTTTATGGACTATAAAGCTCCTTAAATATAAGGATCATTTCGTCTTATTTCTGTAAAACCTAAAAGCTTGACAACAAATTGATTCTTGTGGAGAACAGAGTAGAACCGTCTTACTGATTTCCAAGGCTGTGGAAGCATACTGTCCCATCTTTCTCTTGCAGGAGGAGCTGTTAGCTTTGAACCACCATCCTTTTGGTTAGCAGTCAAATGTGTAGCCATTGCATCACATATTTACCTCTGTGTCTCTCATGCCAGGAACAGAACCTGCCTGGTACAGGGCAAATATTTAATATTTGACGAATGACTGATGAGTTGCTGAGTATCTGCTAATAATCCAAGCTAAGGACACTTAAGGAAGTGTTTCATTTATTGTTGGGACATGATACCATTAAAAATCTCATGATGAGTTAGTAACTTGTTATTTCATTGCTATTTCATTTACCCTCGTCACTGTTGGACTCAGCACTCCTCACCCACTGTTCTCTGCTCTAACCCACACACGTGTGACATATACTTTTGAAGGCCACAGTAAGGTCATTGAGTTGGTCTGTGTTTAGCAAAGTGAAGCTTGTCCCTATGACTAGAAAAATGAGTATAAATAGAATATCTGTTCTCACTAAAAAGATATGTTATAAGAAAACCAAATCCAGAGCCATCAGGTTGAGTTCGACTCATATTTACACCCAATTTCCTCAGGTAGAAACCTTTATGGGAAGAGACTGTCTTTCTCCCATGGAGCAAATGGTGGGTTCAAATCACTGACCTTTCTGTTAGCAATGCAATGCATAATGCACTACACCACCAGAGCTCCTTATTTAAGGTCGAGATTATGTAGTTTGTGGATATGTTGTGACTATATGATAGTGTATTAGTATCAGCATTTTATGGGCATTTTTCCTATTGAGAATAAGTCCAGCTGCTTTGGAGAGAACTCCATGTCATGGTGGCCCCGTGGTGTCATAATGGAAGGGTTCTCCACAGAGGTTTTTATGACTCATTTTTTAAAAACTGGATCTCCAGACTTTTCGTCCCAAAAACTTTCTTGGTGGATTTGACCATCTAGCCTTGTGGTTAGCAGTCAATTACACTGACCATTTTCATGAACCCAGGAACTCCTTTTTATAGCAAAGAACCCCAGTGAAGAAAATTTATTATTCATGTCCTTACAATCAACCCCATTTGTCATCTGGTCGATTCCAAAACATCGAGACACAGTAGGATTGGTGGAACTGTCCCACAAAGACTCCAAAGCTGTACATTTTTATGTAATAGGCCACCCCATCTTTCTCTTTTGTGGCAGGTGGTATATATGAAATACTGGCCTTTCAGTTAGAAGTTCAATGCTTGATCTACTGTGCTACCAGTACTCCTTCCTGACAATTAGCTGTGATTGTTTGAATAAGCAATTACTTACTTTATTCAAAACTGCTTTAAAGGACTTACTGGGTTTTTTTTAAAAGGGGACTAATTATTTTGGACATGTTTTGTTTTCTGGGCAAACATACCTGACGCTTGAGCTCTAAAAGAGTTGCTTCCCAAGTCCACATGTCACACAGCACAGCAAACCTGTCAACACCTGCATGAGCCCAGCCCCGGGCCTGGCTAGTCCTTGAGCTGCTGCCCTCTTTGTGACCTGGGAGAGAGGTGGGAGAATCATTGCAGTGGGAAGAAGATGCTGTTACTAGGGATGTGTACTTGAGATTGTTACCATCATCTGTATGAGGAATGAAAAGCTAAACCAGACCCTGGGATTCTTGATAATTAGCTTAAAAGTTAATGTTTAAGCTCTTTGTTCTTCTTTGTTGACTTGTAAACTAGGGGTTTTAGGTTTTACCTCCAAATTTCAATTTGATAGACTTATTTTAAAAATAGGAAGGTCTGATGGTCTAGTGAGTAGGAAGTTGCATTGCCAACCCAAAGGCATGCAGTTCGAAGCCATCAGCTGCTTCCTGGGAGAAAGAAGGGCAATCTCCTGTGTCATTTACAGCCCCTGAAAACTCACTGGAGGGTCAGCTAGGAGTTGGTTCCAGGTTGACAGCATTTTAGAAATAAAATTAAAAGCCCATTAACATGAAATCTGTGTTAAAATATCTTCAAGTCTATACTTAAGAGACAAAACATACACATATTCTCAGAAACCCTGGTATTTTAACAACAAATCTGATTGAACGTGCCATTTCTTTTGATGGTAGCCAAGAAAGAAATTATGTGAGATGTTTCTAAGATGTTCCTTAATTATGTTAATACTTTGTTTAAAGCAGTAAGAATGATAATCACTATTCTTCAGTCACAATATCAATGCCGGTTTTCACTAACAACCTTATTATGGCTTTTTAAAAACTTTATTGATGTTGTTGTACACTGTTGAATAGGAAGCTACCCATAGCTGATCTCCGGGGAGTTTTCAGAGAGAGTTAACCTCATGGGAAGAGATTACCTACCCTTCTGTGGAGCAGCTGGTGGACTGCTTTTTAAAACTTTAAGTTGTCTAGTTCAGAATGAATTATGAGAAGGTAAGAGGTCTTCAAGTGCTCAAGTTGGAGTTCAAGGATTATCAAGTATATGATAGGTACCGAGTGAGAGCAAGATTCATTAAGAGCTTCTCCAACAGCTGTGGGGAAATCATTTCACTTTGGGTAATTCAATTACTGATGCAGCTAAAAGATGCTCACAAAGCTAAATGACTACTGAGTGTTTTCATAAATTAAATTCCAAGCAGCTGTAAATAGTTTCACAGCACTGTAAATGAATACAAACAGAATAGTGTATAAGTACGAAGGAAAATCAATAAAGATAAAAGCAAAGAGTTGAACTGTCCTGGAATGAGACACACCATGCCTGTAGCCTATGAGTCAGACACCAGTCAGTGTTGGCAAAGACGAAGACTTAAATCCTGTGTAAAATTAATCCTGTCTGGGATCTGAAAGGCTAATTGCCAAATAAACATTTTTGGAGAAGCATTTTATAACAATATGAACATGAATTAGCCTGAATCATAGATCAATATACATTACAAAAGGGCACACACCTTTTGCATTTCTTTCTTTTTAGGTGTTGCAATGTGTCAAAAGCTTTCAACTCTTTCCAAATTCAATGCTAATAGCATTATTCTGAAAGCAGTATTCTTACTTCACCCATACTAAAACTGGATACATTTGAATGATGCTTAAAGGAAAACCCACAGCTCCGGAGTTAATTCTGACTCATGGCCACCCCTTCATGGGGTTTCCAGAGCTGTACATCTTTACAAGAGGAGACACCCCACGTTTCTCCTGAGGGGAAGCTGGTGGATTCAGGCTGTCAGTTAATCTTTTGGTTAGCAGACTGTACATTTTGTGTTATGCCACCAGAGAGGATACAATTTATGGATTACTTGATTAGCCTGAAAGAGTCTTGGGGAGTACAGTTGCTAAGCACTCAGCTACTAACCAAAAGGTTGCCTGTTCAAACCTTTGAGCTGCTCTAATGGTAAAAAACGAGGTAACCTGCTTCCATTAAAATTTGCCCGTTCTGTCCTACAGGGTCACTGTAAATCAGAATCCATTTAATAAAAATAGACTGATTAGCCTGAGCAATTATTTCTCCCTCTGAGTTTAATCTAGCATTTTTTAGGTAAAAATTACATAGCATTGATTTCCTGTTATGAACTTAAAGATTTGTCTGCTCCTATTTGGAGTTTCCTCAAGACCTAACACTTCCTTTCTTATTTAGGGAAAAAATTATGACCTCTTGTTTTCTTTGCTTCCCTTATGGACGCTGAACCACATTCCCTACAGCCAACGTATAATAAAGAAATGGCAGTAGGCAACAAGTAGTCTAAATATACAAGGGTGAGAATGACAACTGAACCCTGAAAGAGAAGTCACAAGCCCCAACTTGAACTGGACACACAACTATAGCTTTCCTAAAATTTATGTAGATAGCTGTGGACTGAGGAGGAGGAGTATATGCTTGTTGAGGTCTCAGATAATATTTGATATATATTTATATGTTGAGATAACAAAAACCAATTACTGTTGAATTGACTTCAACTTACAATGAACCCATGCATCAGGGTACAACCATACACCATAGAATTTCCGATTTCTGAGTTTCCCATGGATCAATGAACTTTTCTTTTGATGCATGCCAAGATGCACTTGAACCTCAGGCTTTACATGAGCAGCTAACTCAATCTAACCATTTACACTACTCAGGGACCTCTGTGCTGAGGCACGAGAGTGTTAAGTAGAGCCCTTAGTGTTGTATGATTTTATTTGCCTGTTGATTCTTTAAAAATTCAACTGCTTACTTTTTTCTTTCTCTATATAATGACTGGCCACGAGCAGCAGTTCTCTTTCCAGTTCCTTCAGGTCACTCAAGGCCTCATCATATATGACATACACTCCTTGCTGGTCCTGGGTGTGGATATAGCCAGCGTCAGTGCTGTAGTAGTCATCCTGGTTCTCCACCTCGGAGAATTCCATGAACTGCATACTTTGGACCTAAAGAAAATTCAAATCCAGATGTTTCCAGAAAAAAAGGAAACAAATCCAACACAACAAAATCATTGCCTTGAGTTGGTTCTGACCCATAGCAACCTTCCATCAGGTTTCAAATCTATAAATTACAGTAGGAAGAGGTTAGTCATCTTTCTTGCAAGAGCTAAATAGTGAAATTGGACTACTGGAGACATCCAGCCTTTGTATTAGCAGTGTAACTCTTTATGGACTATTGCTACCAGAGCTTCTTCCAGATAAAGGAGAGCTGGATTTTGTCAGCCAAATTGGATCACACAGCAAGTTTCTTCTGCAACACAGTGGACTTGGAATTGTAAACATTTTGACCATATAAAACTTGCATGTAGAAAAATACAGATAAGAAGATGGAAGGGAGAAGAGATATTGTGGGTTGTAGTTGATTCATTTGCTTTGTTAAAAAATAATTTTTATTTTATTTTGCTTTGAAAACAAAATTTGTGTACATTGTGTTTCATTTATATATATTGTGTTCCATACATTCTTTTACTTACATTGTGTTTAATATCTTTTTCACACATTGTATTTTATGAAATTAATCATCATTGGTCTACGCCAACTATCACCCTGTCTTTTCAGGTCCCCACTGGATCTTTCCTAATTCTTTCATTTCTTTTCTCTGCCTACCAAACTCTGTGACTTTGTGATTTGCTCTTCTCTTCATTCTCAGTCTCTCTCCTCCCTCCCCTACCAACTTTGGACTTTTGTACAAATCTTACTGTATTTCTATTTTTGCAGTAATGGTTTTATCTAGTATTTGTCCTTAGAAACTGAGTTAGTTCACTCAGAATAATGCTCTCCAGCTTCTCCCACATTATATAGTATTTTTCAAAATCATTGCTCCTCAGTGCTGCATAATATTCAATAGTGTGACTCTACCCCAATTTTTCAATCCATTCGTTTGTTGATGGACATTTGGGCTATTTCTATTTTCTTGCTATTGTGAATAACACTGCTATGTACATTGGTGTACAAATCCCTGTTGTGTCTCAGTTCTATTTTCCTCAGGGTATATTCCTAGCAATGGAATCATTGGGTAATATTGGAATTTCTATGTTTCTCTTTTTTTAGGAAATGTCAAACTACATTCTAGAGTGGTTGTACCATTTTAGACTCTTACCCACAATGCTTGAGGGTTTCAATCTTTTCACATTCTCTCCAGCATTTATTGCTTTGTGTCCTTTTAAACTGCCACTTCTACTGGGGTGAGATGGTATCTCATTGTGGTTTTGATTTGCATCTCTCTGATTGTCAGTGATTTTGAACATTTCTTCATGTGTCTTTTGGCCCTCCAAATGCCTTCCTCTGTGAAAAGTCTTTCCATATCTTTTGCTTATTTTGTAATTGGGTTATCAGTCTTTCTTGCAGAGGCCCTGTAGGATTCTGTAAACTTTTGTTATGAAATCCTTGTCTGAGACAGCATTGTCAAATGTTTTTTCCAAGTCAGTAGATTTTCTTTACACTCTTTAAAAAAAAGGTTTTGATGCACATAGGGACTTAATCTTTAGAAGGTCCCATTCATCAATGCTATCCTGTCCTGATGGTCTATTTCTGGCTGTATTTGCCAGCCTCTTTATACATACACTAAGCCTTCTATGTTTTATCCCATCTTGTCTCTTATGATCTTTATGGTTTTGGACTTTACCTGCAGGTCTCTGAACAAGGAAATCCACATTGAAGAAGCTCAGCGAACCCCAAATAGACTAGACCCACAAAGAAAAACATCAAGACATATCCTAGTAAAAGTCTCCAAAATTAAAAATAAGGATAGAATATGAAAAGCAGTACAAGAAAACAGAGTCACTTACAATGGAGAACCAATTAAATGAAGTTCTTATGCCTCAGCAGAAACCACAAAAACAAGAAGGCAATGGGATGACATATAAAGAAGGTTGGAAGAAAAGACACAATAGACCAAGAAGATATAACCTTGGTCAGCAAATGATAGACCTGAAAAATATATAAAACAACAGTTAACAGACTTGAAGAAAGAAATAGACAGCACCAAATAGTGACAGGAGACTTTAACATACCTCTCTCTCCAAAGGAAAGGTCAACTTGAAAGAAATGTAACAAAGATGCAAAAGATCTAAACTATACAACCAGCCAACTTGACTTTGTAAATGTATTCAGGCTACTGCACTCAACCAAAAATCAATTGGCTTCTTTTTAAGTGCACATGGTACATTTTCCAGAGTTGATCACATATTAGAATACAAAGCAAGCCTCAACAAATTAAAAAACACTGAAATAATATAAAGTATCTCAGACCACAATACCATAAAACTGGAAATTAACAAGAGAATAAAGCTTTTATGGAAGCTAAATAACACTTTGCAAGAAAAGGATTGAGTTTTAGAAAAAATAAAATTAAAAAGTTTCTCAAAGCAAATAATAATAATAAAAATACACATATCCAAACCTTTGGAATATAGTTAACGCAGCGTTCAGGGGGCAATTCATAGCAATAAATAAACACATACAAAAGGAAGAAAGAAGCAACATTAATGACCTCACTCAACATCTCCATCAAATAGAAAAAGAACAATTTAAACCCACAGCCTCTAAAAGAAAGGAAATTATAAGGACAGGAGCTGAAATTAATGAGATGGAAAAGAGAAAAAAAAAAAGAAACCATAAACAAGACTAGGAGCTGGTTCTTTGAAAGGGTCAGTAAAATGATAAGTTTGCTTTTATGACTAGCTAATTAACTAGAAAAGACAGGCTAATGCTTAACAGGAAACTCTTGAATCAGAGTAGTTGCCTTCAGGTCCTGCCTCTGCCAGTATCTCACTCAAGGCAAGTCATGCAGCTACTCTCAGACTCTACTTCCTCATCTGTAATGTGGCGACAGTGGAGACACCATAGTGTTGTAGAGGATATGTGAGACCACACAGAGAGAGAAGGCACATGGAATTCATCAATGTTAACTGTTAAAACCATTTTTGTTTTAATTTTATAAATGCTTCTCAAATAGATTAACATGGTCTCCTGTTACAATTTCATTTTTCTTGGGTGCCTGAAAACTTCCTAAAAATAATCCATCTATTAGGGAGCTTTGGTGGCTTAGCGATAAGGAGTTTCACTGCCAATTCAGAGGTATGGAGTTTTAAACTACCATCTGTTCCATGGGAGAAAGATGGTCAATCTCCTCCCACATGATTTGCAGGCACTGAAAACCTACTGGAGGGTCATCTAGGAGCCGATTTCTGATACAATGGCACAAATAACAAAAACAATAGAGTAATAATTCTCGTAATTTCTCTGTTCCCCTTAAATCTCAAACTCATGTCTTTCTCACCTGAAACTCAAGTGCTACTTTCTATTTTCACACCCACTCCTGGTCCTCCTCTTTTCCTTCTTCCTGATAGAAGATAGTCCCCTCAAAGACCATCACCTCTCTGTGCTTTAGATGCCGTTTTCTCCCACTTCAGTAAGCCTCTCTTCTTCCCGTATAGGTAGTCCCTGACTTAACGAATTAGTTACGACCAAATGCACTTATCACTTTCTGGTGTTAATTTTTTGGGAGTACATCTTATCATTAATGAAATATAAAACATATAATGATACAACATGCAAATTTGTTGATGCTATCATTCTTAGCCACTTATAGATGTTTAATATTATGATTTCTAAATATACAAATAATAAAAAATTAACAAAAAAGTCAGCACTAACATAAGTAGAATATTTCTTTCCTTCCTCCCCCCACCCCCCCACTACATTCAGTTCTTCTTCAGCTTCCTTAATTGTCTAGCTTTTGCCTTGAAAATACCATAGTTTTGTTCAGGAGTATCTTAATCCTCATGGTAATTCCTTTGCTTTTTAGTGCTTTAAAGGAGGCTTTTACAGCAGGTTTGTCCAATTCAATATGCCATTTGACTTCAAATGCTGCTTCTAGGGGCCTTGATTGTGAACCAAATTAAAAGAAAACCTTTGACAACTTCAATCTTTTCTCCATTTATTATGATGTTGCTTGCAATTGGTCAAATTGTCAGAGTATTTTTGAGGGTTTTTTGGTTGTTGTTGTTAAAGTGTTATCCATACTGGAGTCTGTAATCTTTGATCTTCATCAGTAAGAGCTTCAAGTCTTTTTCACTTTCAATAGGCAAGGCTGATTGCAGATTGGTAGTGAGTCTTCCTCCAATCCAGATACCCAATTCTTCATTTTTCTCAGATTTTTCTGCCTAGTATACATATTGACTAAGTATGGTGAAAAGATATAACCCTGACACACACTTTTCCTAATTTTAAACCATGCAATATCCCTT